ATGAGTTTCTTTCTTCTGTTGAGCACAAAAGAAGATATTTTGAAGAATGTTCCAAACAGCCATTGACTTGCATATTATGGAAAAAATTACTATGGAAGACAATGGCTACCGTCAACTGTTTGGAACATTCTTCAAAATATCTTCTTTTGTGCTCAACAGAAGAAAGAAACTCTTACAGATTTGGAACGACATGAGGGCGAGTAATATTGACAGAATTTTAATTTTTCCCTTTAACTGACATGAATACTGTACGTATAACGTCTTCCTCTTCCACACGTCACAGTCCTTAATCTCCGCTCTCAGTCATCGCCATGAAGTCGTGCTGCATCAACGGCAAAATCTTCGACTGGAACATCATTTCCAGGAGGAGCTGTTTCCGCGCTGGCGTCCGCTACTACGTCAGAGGTGAAGCTCGTACGGTTTGAGACGGTGCCTGTCATTTCTCCATAAGTTACTAAACGCTCGCTTTCTCTTCCAGGCATCGACTCTGAAGGTCATGCGGCCAACTTTGTTGAGACGGAGCAGATTGTTCAGTATAATGGAGCAAAAGCCTCATTTGTTCAGGTAAGCCTCTGAAATGGTAAAGCCTTCAAACATCAGTTTTCATGATATTATGCTCATCCGATTACTTTGTTCTACTAATTTGAGAAATTTCCAGTCGGCTCTCTGATGTTTAAATCAGTAAATCAACCAGTTTTTGTCAATACAAGGGTGATACGTTAGTCAAGGAAACCGTAAAAACATGATGTGAATCATGTGAAGAATATTCCACATATTTCAGAATCCAGATTTTTCCTTTAGTGGATGGTTTGATTTGATTCTTTCACGTAAGTTACATTGAGTGACTTGATTTGGGGCTTGACAAATGTCAATTTGTTAACTTATGAGTTGTGAGGATAATGAAAACCGCTCAGATCAGGGTTGCCAGGTCCCCGAAACAAAACCACCCCAATTGCTAATCAAAACAATTGTTAAAAATGTTTATATTAAAAATATAAAAATGGGATAGTGTGCACACACCCAGTAAAAAATCAGTAAAAATCACCCTGAACGATTTGAGGAAAAAAAATCGATTTGTGATTTTGCTGGTAAAAATAGTGATTGTAAATTAAAATGCGATTAAAAAAATTCCAGGTTTGCTGTGCTTGTTTGTAGGGCTGCACAATTTGGTCAGATTTTTGGGATTACATATCAATATGGCTATAAAATCAAATTAATAATAATAATAATTATATTTTTACTACACCAAATAAAAACTTACAAAACAAAAACAAATAAGGAAATATTATTATTGTAAACCAACAGTAATTTTTATTTTCACACTGAGATGCTCTGCAAACACTAGTTGATAATGAGCTGCTCACATATAAATAAACACCGAGTGAATCATGCAGCGCATATATTAATTTAATTAAATCACAGTTTTTGCAATTCGATAATCGCGATTTCAGTTTTATTTCAATTAATACCATCTTATGGTTACCAACTGGAATGATGTTAGTTTCCTTAGTAGATGAGCTTTTGTATGAGCTTTTCTTTAAGAATATCAGAGAAACTAAAATATTTATGGTATGATCCCTTTATTGTAGCATTTCAGAAACCATTTATTTAGAACGAAAAGTTACTCACAATGGAGCCGCAAGCTTCATGGCATCTTTCATCCATTTTGAATGTGGATTAGTTAGTTTTCATAGTTTTCATGTAATTTGAGGAACATTTCTAATCAGACTTGCTATTAATGAGTGATCCTCTTCCACAGACTCGAGGCTCCATCCCGTTCTACTGGTCTCAGAGACCAAACCTCAAGTACAAACCAAAACCACAGATCAGCAAAAGCATCAATCATGTGAGATTCACCTTCTTTACTTCTGCAAATTTCATGATGGTTTGATGTGGTGTTAAACATCTGGTAACGGTCTTTACAGAATGTGTTAAAGGGATAGTTCACCCAAAAATGAAAATTACTCCATGATTTACTCACCCTCAAGCCATCCTAGGTGTATATGACTTTCTTTTTTCAGACGAATCCAATCTGAGTTATATTAAAAAATGTCCTGGCTCTTCCAAGCTTTATAATGGCAGTGAATGGGTGTTATTTTTCAATAGTCCAAAAGAAGTCCAATAAAGTGCATCCATCCATCATAAAAAGTGCCTCACGGGGGGGTGAATAAAGGCCTTCTGTAGCGAAACAATGTGTTTTTGTAAAAAAACATATCCATATTCCGCCGCGTTCGTTCCGGCGGATGACGTAGGCGTAGCGTAAGCTCCGGTGAGAAGTGACGAAGCGCAGCGGAGGGAGCAAAACTAGAATTAGAAGTACAAAACGAAGATTTGTAAAGAAAAATGTGTGAGGATTTCGATATAAGCCGAGAGGAGACTAAAGTAAGGAAACTTTGCTTTTTTTGCTCCTGTAAACAAACGTCGGTTCTCGCGAGACTAGCATAATCTCACCGGAGCTTACGCTACGCCTTCGTCATCCGCCGGAATGAACGCGCGTACGACAGTCAGCGGAAGCTAGAGATTATGTTTATCAAATTTTAAATATGTATATATTTCTTACAAAAACGCATCGATCCGCTTCAGGAGGCCTTTATTCACCCCCGGAGCTGTGTGAGGCACTTTTTATGATGGATGGATGCACTTTATTGGACTTCTTTTGGACTATTGAAAAATAACACCCATTCACTGCCATCATAAAGCTTGGAAGAGCCAGGATATCTCTTTAATCTTTATGTTAGTTAATAAAAATACAGGCCAGTTGTTCATGTTAGATGTTAATAGATGCAGTGTTTGATTTAAAAAAAATAGTAAATGTTGCAATTAATAATAACTAAGGTTAATGATTGCTTTAGAAGTATTATTTATTGTTAGTTAATGTAGTTACATAATTTTCAAATAAAGTTTTGATTTATTGACTCTAAAAAGATTTGATTTGGCAGACAAATATTAATTTGGTTTTGGTTTTATATATATTCTCATATACACAGTGGTGGAATAATTAGTTTTTTTTATGTTTTTGAAAGAAGGCTGCATTTACTTGATCAATATTATGAAATATTATTACAATTTAAAATAACTGTCTTCTATGTTAATATATTTTAAAATGTAATTAATTCCTGTAATGGAAAGCTGAATTTTCAGCATCATTACTCCAGTCTGTAAACGTCTGTACATTTCTGAAGGATCATGTGACACTGAAGACTGGAGTAATGATGCTGAAATATTTCAAAATATTACATTAGTGATTAGATAGCTCTTATATAGCACTATTCTGTGTGTTTTTTTGTGTAACGTCTCACAGCTGGATGGTTTCCAGAGGCATTTCGACTCTCAGATCATCACGTACGGCAAACAAGTTATTCTGAACCTGGTATGTTGACTGTATTTGCTCTGAGTCTGGACAATCAGAGGCAACACATCAATGTCTCACTACGATCTCTATTATTCTCCAGGTGAATCAGAAAGGCTCAGAGAAGCCGCTGGAACAGGCCTTTGCAAAGATGGTGAACAGTCTGGGCAACGGCATGATCAAGTGAGCGAGTCGATGGGAAAATCTAATAAAACACTGATGCACAAGAGCCAAGCTCACAGTTGTGTTCGTCTGCAGGTACGTGGCGTTTGACTTCCACAAGGAGTGCAGCCGTATGAGGTGGCATCGCCTGCAGATCCTGGTGGACATGGTGGCGGAAATGCAGAACGAGTTCGGGTACGCAGTGCTTTATATTGCATGCTAAAAATGCGATTTTTGAATGCTCTAATTGTTTCATGTTTTTCAACAGCTACTTCCTGGTGGATTCGGACGGGACGGTCCAGTTACAGCAGGACGGGACGTTCAGAAGCAACTGCATGGACTGTCTGGACCGAACCAACGTCATCCAGAGTCTGCTGGCGCGCCGCTCGCTGCGGTCGCAGTTAGAGGTTTATTATCTTTATTGGGATCATCATTGGGCCGAAATGAACGTTCGAGTAGGGCTGGGGGCGATACTTTGAATATTAGCAATATTATTGCAGTATCCGATATCGTGTAGTGTTAACAGAAACTATTATGAAAAATATTCATTGACTACCATTTTATCCACGAGACAGACATCATTCAGCACTAATTGTGAATATATCAGCATTCGAGATCGTTGACGAAAAAAGACGAGACTAAAATGTTAAAAAATAAAAACAAAAATATTCTGATCTGTTCAAAGAGCTGATTCATTCAGAGACGATGCAAGTGACTGTCTTTATGAATGAGTCACTGAATCATTGACTCACTCGATCAGTTCAAACAGCTGATTCATTCCGAAATAAAGCAAGCGACTGTCTTTATGAATGAGTCACTGAATCATTGACTCACTCGATCAGTTCAAACAGCTGATTCATTCCGAAATAAAGCAAGCGACTGTCTTTATGAATGAGTCACTGAATCATTGACTCACTCGATCAGTTCAAACAGCTGATTCATTCCGAAATAAAGCAAGCGACTGTCTTTATGAATGAGTCACTGAATCATTGACTCACTCGATCAGTTCAAACAGCTGATTCATTCCGAAATAAAGCAAGCGACTGTCTTTATGAATGAGTCACTGAATCATTGACTCACTCGATCATTTCAAACAGCTGATTCATTCCGAAACTAAGCAAGTGACTGTCTTTATGAATGAATCACTGAATCATTGACTCACTCGATCCGTTCAAATTGCAGATTCATTACGAAACGAAGCAAGTGACTGTCTTTATGAATGATTTGCTGAATCATCGACTCACTCGATCTGTTCAAACAGCTGATTCATTCTGAAATGAAGTGAGTGACCATCTTTATGAATGAATCACTGAATCATTGACTCACTCGATCAGTTCAAACAGCTGAATAATTCCGAAACGAAGCAAGTGGCTGTCTTTATGATTGAATCACTGAATCATCGACTCACTCGATCTGTTCAAACAGCTGATTCATTCTGAAACTAAGCAAGTGACTGTCTTTATGAATGAGTCACTGAATCATCGACTCACTCGATCCGTTCAAATTGCTGATTCATTCCGAAACGAAGCAAGTGACTGTCTTTATGAATGAATCACTGAATCATTGACTCACTCGATCCGTTCAAATTGCTGATTCATTACGAAACGAAGCAAGTGACTGTCTTTATGAATGAATCACTGAATCATTGACTCACTCGATCCGTTCAAACAGCTGATTCATTCTGAAATGAAGCGAGTGACCATCTTTATGAATGAATCACTGAATCATCGACTCACTCGATCAGTTCAAACAGCTGAATAATTCCGAAACGAAGCAAGTGACTGTCTTTATGAATGAGTCACTGAATCATCGACTAACTCGATCTGTCCAAACAGCGGATTCGTTCCGAAACGAAGCAAGTGACTGTCACTAAATCATTGACTCGCTCGATTAATTATAAATCATGTCATTAGTTGTGGTCCAGAAGAGAAAGACTGTATGTTTAAAATGTGAGTTTTGTAAGCTTGTAGAAGTACTCTAGCAGTTGCTGTCTGTTAGCCGTGAGGTTAACTCTTGTCTTGTTTATCTGTAGAGGATGGGAGTTTTACATGTGGGGCAGCGGATTGAAGAACAGGCAGATTTTGAAAAAATATACAAGAATGGTAAACAAACACTAACGCTGATAGTCTTGCTATTTGAGACTTTCTCATTCATGGCCTTTCTGTTCCTGCTTTGTTCCCCGCAGCATGGGCGGATAACGCCAACGCTTGTGCCAAACAGTACGCCGGGACCGGAGCCCTGAAGACCGACTTCACACGGTAAACAAGAGCGTCTGTCTCCTGCTCCGCTTGTGTTTGAGAGTGAATGTTCGGATGATGATTGGCTCTCTGTGTGTTCAGGACAGGAAGGAGAACGCAGTGGGGTTTGCTGATGGACGGATGGAACTCTATGATCAGATACTACAAGAACAACTTCTCAGATGGCTTCAGACAGGTCAGTGTCACTTGCACACAAACGCCTCTTAGATTAAATAGTATTTTAACATTTTAAAGATTTATATGATGGATTCAGTAGAGTGTTTTTGAGCAGTGTTGTTGATATAATATTAAAAACTATATTTTTTGTTAATATTTTGAATTAGATTTTATTTAATATTTTTTTAATCTAAGTTTGGTTTGTATTTTTGTCATTTTTATCATTTTTTTTATTTTTAGCTTATTTAGTTTTAGGTATTTTAATACTTAGTTAAACTAAACAAAAATGGGAAATCATGCCTTGGCAGCTAATTGAAATAAAATAACATTAAAGTTTGATATATTTAATTTAAGTAATGAAATGTTTTTTATGGTTTTAGTTGACTATAATAACCCTGTTTTTGCATGATTCATTCATTTTAATAATCAGCGTCTAATAGTCATTAGTTTGTGAATCATCTGAGTTATCATTCCCAAATTTCAGCCGAACCCCTTTGACCGGAAATATTTACTTACAGTTTGAACTTTAGGATTTTGAGTTAATATTTCTTTGGTTTAACAACACGTGTGCATGTTCATGGTTCTCTGATGGTTATTGGTCACATAACATGAAGGTAAAAAAATTATATATATTTTATGTAATTATTTATTATAGCATATATATATAATTTATTAATATATAATATAATTTATTAGATTAAATAATATATGAAAAATTTTTTTTTTGAGTAAGTGATTTACATATTTTTTATATTTTAATTTTTTAAAAAGTAATTTAAATATTACTTTATTTTTATGATGCAATTAATTGTTTATATATTTTTTTATTATAATTCTTTTTTGTTTTAATTTTTAATTTTTACGATTTAATTAATTATTTGATTTTTATCTGTTATTTTACTCACAAACCCCAGTTTGGAAACCCTTCTCTAGGGAATAAAATCGCTAATGAAGTAGAAAGATGTGTTTTGTGTTTGATTTCTTTTCTGTGGGTCAGTGGATGAAGACTTCAGGTTTTTTTTGAGTAAGTTACATACATATTTTTTATATTTTAATTTTTTAAAAAGTAATTTAAATATTACTTTATTTTTATGATGCAATTAATTGTTTATATATTTTTTTATTATAATTCTTTTTTGTTTTAATTTTTAATTTTTACGATTTAATTAATTATTTGATTTTTATCTGTTATTTTACTCACAAACCCCAGTTTGGAAACCCTTCTCTAGGGAATAAAATCGCTAATGAAGTAGAAAGATGTGTTTTGTGTTTGATTTCTTTTCTGTGGGTCAGTGGATGAAGACTTCAGGATCGGATCTGAAGGCTCATAGGGTTTTATTATGTCATGTCTTTATCCAGGACTCCATTGATCTGTTTCTGGGTAATTATGCTGTGGAAGAGGCAGATATGAACACTCCTTTACATGAGCTCAAAGACTGGAAGTTCCTCACGGTAAGAACCAGACTGAGCTGTGAACCCAGAAAAACACCCTCTTGTCTTAGACGTCTTTGGCGTTTGTTTTCAGCTGCAGAATACAACAGAACTGTATTGATTGAGCACTGCTGTCTTTTATATTGCTGCTGTTGCTGCCTCATGAAAGTAATAAACCACTTAAGAGGATTTACAGTGATTATTTTCTGCTTTCTCTTATGTCTTACATCACTTACATTAACCATGGTAAAATCACTGTAATGCACAGCTATAGTTATGGTAATTAAGGCTGGGTAATATATCAAATATACATGATTTGATTGCAGTAATTCTGCTGGGTTTTGCAAGGATGCTTTTATTGGCCATTCTATTAAATAAATTCTATTATCTTCTTCTATTAAAGCCAGTATGAAATGTAAATTCACCCTATCTATTTTCTAAGTGCATGTTATTGATCTTATTGTGAACAATTCATCTGTGCATGTGTTTCATTTTTTATATTCTTGTCATTTTTATTCGAAATGTCATATAACTGTATTCTCCTGTTTTCCCTCTTCAGCTGCCGATCATCATGGTAGTTGCTTTCTCAATGTGCATCATATGTCTCCTGATGGCTGGTAAGACAGATCAATATTAATGTTATTAATAATATTAATAGTAAGCTACTGTATCATATTTGATAGGCCTCTAATTGAACAACATGATCAAACTTTGCTGACGCACAAAATCTACTCCACACATCTCCTTCACTAATACAATTAAAATTAAAAGTTGCATCTGTTAACATTAACATTAGTCAACAGTCAACTAATATGAACAAACAATGAAAATTGTTTATTTTTATTAACTAATATTGGCAAAGCATGGAAGCCCGTTTCCACTACTTAATAAAAATTATTTAAAAAGTAATTTAAACTTTTATCTCATGACTTTTTTTTCTCGCAATTCCGAGTTTATATCCGACAGTTTAGACTTTTTTTCTCACAATTCACAAGCATCAGAATTTCATCTTATAAATATCAGCATCTGCACCAAATTACATATTTTTGCTCAGTTTGAGTCTCTGAATAAAATTGAGCTGTTTTTCCTCCATATTCTCACTTTATCAGACTATATGAGCCATGAAAGCCTGATGGATCAAATATGATGCTTTTTATTTTTTCATGACTTATTTCATAGGGTTAATTTGAGTGTTTATGTTGTTATCAGTGTGTAACTGTTGCTGGTTCTCGTATTTCCCAGGTGACACCTGGACGGAGACGCTGGCATATGTGTTGTTCTGGGGCTCGGCGAGCGTCGTGACGGCCGGCGTGATCCTCTTCAACGGCCGGGACTTCGTCGACGCGCCCAAACTGGTGCAGAAGGAGAAGATGGACTGAACCTGCGCGTGTGGGAAGCAGCTTGGTCCCGCCGAGTCTTCATCCTCAGTCCTGTCCTACTCTCAGCTTCACCGGGCCTGGAGCCTGTATTGACGCCGCGCCGCCGGAGGAAGAGGAGGAGGATGAAGGCCGGGGGCCAGACGGGACCCTCCGCTGCTCTCCACACCAGGATCGTATCTCACAGACATCCCATAATTCCATGGGCTCACGGGCAGCTTCACAGACGCAGCGCTGGAAACCAGGTTCATATGCAGATCGGGACCATGAGGGTCTCTGCCCCGTCCTCGCGGTTCACGGCGTGTCTCCGTGTCGAATCGCACACGTGTCGCAGCTCTCGGGACGTTTGCGTATCTGCCGTCAACTCAGAATCAGTCTTGTTTTCTAATAAAAAAAAATGTTTGTACACAAAATAAAAATGCCGTCACACTTTACAATAAGGTTTCATTTGTTAACATTAGTTAACTACATTAGTCTAATAACTAACAATCGACAATAATTCTACAGCATTATATGTATATTAATGTTAATTTCTACATTTGTTAATACAATTAAAATTAAAAGTTGCATTCGTTAACATTAGTTAATGCACTGTCAACTAATATGAACAAACAATGAACAATAGTTTTTTTATTAATTAATATTGACAAAGTATGGAAGCCTGTTTCCACTACTTAATAAAAATAATTTAAAAAGTAATTTCGACTTTTATCTCACGATTTTTTCTCGCAATTCTGAGTTTACGTCAGGTAATTCAGACTTTTTTTTCCACAATTCTGAGTTTTTATCTGATGATTCTGACTTTTTCTCGCAATTCTGAGTTTATATCCGACAGTTTAGACTTTCTCACAATTCCGAGTTTATATTCGACAGTTTTACCTTTTTTTCTCACAATTCCGAGTTTATATCCGACAGTTTAGACTTTTTTTTCTCGCAATTCTGAGTTTATATCCGACAGTTTAGACTTTTTTTCTGAGTTTATATCCGACAATTTAGACTTTTTTCTCACAATTCGTAGTTTATATCCGACAGTTTAAAAACTTTTTTCTCGCAATTCCGAGTTTATATCCGACAGTTTAGACTTTTTTTCCCTGAGTTTATATCCAACAGTTTAGACTTTTTTTTCCCAGAGTTTATATCCGACAGTTGAAACTTTTTTCTCGCAATTCCGAGTTTATATCCGACAGTTTAGACTTTTTTTCC